TCGCCTCGAGCTTTCGTTCCGACCCGGAAAGCTTCCAAAGCCGCGAGTATTGCATCGATTCAAGCTAATCAATTTGCGAAATTGTTCTATCGATTACTTTCCCGTTCAACTTAACCATCGAGCGCCCTTTGTCTTTCTCTTTCACTTTCAAAAAGATTCAATGCTTGTTTATTTGTACACATAATAACGATTACGTACAATTAAAATGTTAATTGCTGTTGTTTATATTCAAACTGATTGCCAGTCGATGTTCAACGATTAAGTATAATTATTATTTCTTTCCATGATTTTCATAAGTGAGGAATTGCACATTTTCTAAAATATATTCGAGCATTATAATAATATAACTGCTCGCAGATATAACGATGAACGATTCAGCAGTAAAGGTTTCGGACCGATTGCACGATACACCAGTATCATTTAATCTTCATCTGTGTTATGTAAAATAAATTCATGTCCGATTAATTAGCGTAGCATAACTAATTTCACCATCGGGTAGATTGTAGTACATGCTTCGTACGAGGCAAATGAGATTTTAAACAAACGTTGTATAATTTGTTTACAGTAAAAGGATTAAACTATTATACCGCTGTGGCAACAGGAACACGTTTAATTGAAATTATGGTAATATGATAATATGTAGTTTGTGCGTTTACGTTCTCATTAATATTGTGCATAATGATGTGCAGGGTTTTCCACCGGTTTCCCAGTTTTAAATGTTTTCGTTACTCCAAGCAATAAGAGAAATTACCCTCTATCTTTTTAATGTACCCTTTCGCGTAAAAATAAATGAAGCAAGTGTAATATAAAAATTGAAATGGCTAAAATAGTAAACTGAATCCATCATTCTGTACTTATCCTTTGCCTCGCTCATTAATATTAGCTTAACGAACGCATTACACTTGCTTCGAGTTTATGTAACACTGCTCCACCCAGCCTCCGGTCGTTGTTTTCCATCCGTAGGAATCACACGTAACGCTCGCGAATCCACGTGACGTATATTCACGTGATAAGAGTAACGAGGTGATTACGCAAACAATTAAGAAATCGAATCTTAATTTCAACCACGTACATTCACGTTTATGAGTCTCAGATCGTACTGATGATTGAATGTATTTAAAATAAGTTGGATATTTCAAGTAATAGACGAATAAATTTGCAGTCTATTTATAACTAGAGTTTAAAATTGAAATTAGAGCTGAGTACTTAGTAATTAATCAGTAAAATAGAGTCACCCTCGTTCGCCCTCAATTATCGATCTTCCAATTAACAATCAAATATAGTCGTCTGAATTCGCTGATTCATCAGAGAGAAACCTTATTAGGATCGATGCGGCACCTTCCTTAGTAACTTCGAAAATGAACTTTTGTCAATCATTCGCTTGCATACAGCGTCATTACGATAATTCTAACAACGCCATGAATCGATCTTCTTATTAGTAACATGCTTTTAAGAAGACTATCAGAAATTATGCAAAATTAATATATATGTACAGAGTCTAATATTTATTTTGAACAACAAATAGTTTTTAGAAAAAACTATGAAATCGCAATTATTCGTAAATTAAAATAGTCGCTGATGGTGAACAGATCGGAACGACGACGCTGTCCCGCTAAAAGCTGCTGCCAATAACAGTTTTCGTTGCGCGAACTTCATCTGAACTTTCATCCCAGGTTCGGCCGCGCGTAGCCGTGTATCAGCCTTGTATCACGATCAATTATGTTCACGCGACGACACGGTTCACTTTTCTCGACTAATTCCGGCTACGTACTCTCGCGTCACTCCTTGTCGTCCTAATTAGTACACGCTTACTGCTGCACAAAGCAACAGGGTTCTCTTAATTAGGGGATAATCGATCGTCGTGCTCTCTGCTAGTCTCCGTATTTCACTCCGTTGCAAATTCATTGAGTCATGATTTCTAACTTTTTAAAGATACAACTTAACTAATTGTCCAGAGTTCATCTGTCTCGATATGAAAATGAAGCTCTTATTTATATGAGCCGATGAAATTCTCACGAAGGATCATGAAATTTATAGAGCAAAGCAAGTCTTAACTAAAATTGATATCTCTGAACTGGTTTATGTTCCACAAAGATTTGTATAAACCCCGCAGTCTACTTGTAATGATCTGAACTATTTGTCACATCAAGAATAATGCTCATTTAATTTGATCTTCCTTGGTTTCTCTGCAGATTTCGACCAGGAAGTTACGCGGAAATTAGATAACGGACGTGGAATAATTAATTCTATAGCAACCTGTATGTGTGACGTGACGAATGGTAGATTAGTCACGACCAATGAATGTTTCAAGCACGGAGCCACCGTCAATATCTGGGCACATCGGGATCGTAGAATGGAGGCAGGCACGCCGAATGCATAATCCTACGAATTTCATATGGATGATTATTATCGAGATTCCTAACGATCACTGTTAGCCACTCAATGGGAAACTACCACTTGAAATCCTTCCGCTCCCACCGACTGTTTGATGATTTATAACGATTAATCACAGTAGTTTTCATTTCCCATGATCGTGGATTAAACAATTTTCCAATTTATAGAAAACTAAAAAATTCTGTGGCCATGTTTGATAATCTTATTGACCTCTTAACACGTGTGACTAAAATTGTCAACCTGAGTGTATATTTCAGAAAAGATTTTAAGCGTTTAATTGTATTCAGGACTGATGTAATTACTTACAACCATCCCTCTAAAAATATTTATCGTAGTAAATAGATCAGAATCATATTTCTGGAAAACTTTGAACAAGTAACGATCTTAGTGACCTACTCAGATACAGACAAACGTCTGTATCAATAATATTACCTTTATCAGTATTAGTTCATTCAAATAGGAGTCAATTATTATGTATACTAGGAAGCTTAGATGAACGAATATTTGGAACACATGTCCATTTTCATTTATTTTCTACCGCCCGGAAAATGTGTTAGGAATAATAAAACGTACCACGAAATGTGTCAATAAATTTACTACCCCGTAAAACCCAAACAGTTTATTCGATTCGCATTAAATCCAGGCGCAACCGTTTACTACGCACCTATTTTTCGAAGCTCGATCACTAAATTGGATTATATTCATATTAGATAAAATTTAATATGAAAGAATCGACTATTATTAAACGCATTGATGATATCCTGTAAATGAGCCCCACATAATGAATCGCGTAATGGGAATAGAATTCATACTTAACGCGTAGGATTAGTTCACGTTTATCGAAAGAATGCCCTATTAACATCTTCGCCTTATCCCAGACAAGAAATTCCGTTCTTTCACTCGACTTTGCCAGATTATACTGTATATGCCAAGGACCCTCGAAAACTTCAACTTTTATAACTCCGCAAATGGTGCTCATAAAGTTTCATCTCGCCAAGACGAACAGAGAAAATGGAGATAATCTCGCGTTTCCTTGCACTATATTGGGTTCTCAGCTTCGCTTTCAGTCGTCCTTTCGCTTCAGCTCGGTTCAAAGATGGGACGACAAACCCCCGGTCGATTCCCTCGCCTTAAACTTCGACTATCGCACGTTCGTTTGCGGCGATCTCGAAAATTATGGGGCTCGCGAAATTGAAATTTTATTTCCAACCAAAACGGAAATCGGAGTTACGAGTCTAAGCGATAATGAGTAATGTGTCAATTTCGACTTATTTCATTGGTAATATTTTTATGTGTTCATCATTTTTATGGTTTGATATATGAACTGAATATACGTACTAAATACACATATGTGAATGAATTGATTGATGTTGCATTATTTGATACAACAAAAATGAGTCTCCTGTTAAAATCCTTAAGTCATTCTTAATCCAAAACGATTTTGAGTCTGTAAGCCCATAACTGCTTTTTTTATAAAAGCGTGGGTAGTAAACGCTATTTCTCTAACAATAAGTGGATGCTAAACTTTAATGCATTTCTGCTTCATTTTTAGTGCGTTTTTCATAGTGTAAACAGCCGTTTAAATAAACCAAAAATGAAATAAATGGAGTTTTATTTATTGACCTATTTCCAATAATTGTTTTATGATCTCATTTCTTATTATTATTCTTTAAAAACTATTTGATATCATATAACGAAGATGAACTAGCAGAAATTCTTAAAACCTGTTAGTCAACAGTTAACTTCACTAAACCGTAATCGAGCTACCCAAATAATTGAATTTATCGGAAGAAGCCGTGGCGCTTGAATGGGTCGAGCTACCCGAACATTCGTATGCTTTGATACCCACCCGAATTTTCCATAGCTAACCCGATTACTCTGATATCCAATAAATTGAACGGTCCAGCTATAAATATGTAAATACTCTGGAAGAAATGTGATTAGTTGAACGTTCTTTCGTTGACATGTGTTACTCATGTATTGCTGTTCGATTGAGTGTCGAAGCAATGCATGAGATATAACCCCTCTTGCCCCTATGCTATCGTGAGAATCACTTATGCTTTATTACCTACTTATATTGTCATAGAGATAGGGAATGACCCGCTAATAGTTCAAAAGCATGTACAGTGTTCTATTCTGTCATTTTTGCATAGTAAATATGTATAGAAGGAGTCAAAGCCGAACAGAAGAATAGGGAACCGGAAATGACTTACGAGCAGCAAGTTCATCTCTGCTCTAAATGTTTATCATACTTCCTATATGTATCCCACTGAGTATCAGAGAGGAATTTCCTCTCTGGTTCTATTAAAGACTTTATCACTCTCCTTTACATAGTTATTCGAGACGAACAGTAATTTGTTTTAATTTTTTGTTATACGTTTGTATGACAAACTAAGCATTGTAATGTCCACAAGAATACGAAGACGATCGGTTTTATATTAAAAAAGTTACTTACCTTTGGAACGGGAACGGATGATGAGACTCGTTGCAGGTCTTCTCTTTTCCTTCTTTCGGCAAAGTAAACACTCCTCTTGTCAGCACAACGTATAAACTCTCGGAAATGTAATTTACTGCCACGTATAAACGCAAAGTCGGCCTCCACAAAATCTTTGAAGTCGGTTATGTTATACGTACAATCGTATCGATTCTATCACTCGCGTTTCACTTCACAGCGTCTGCCAGAGTCGACGTCGATGGGAACATGTGTACGTACACACACGAGTAACGAGACCAGTTTTATTTGTTAAATATCAGCCTTTAGAAAAGTGCAAATCAGTTACACACATTTAAGATAGAAAGGCTTTTCCATTACTATATGTAGGCACATGCAGTTTCATAATACATGAGAAATGTAGAAACGTTTTGGTATTTGACAGGCGGTACTAGCGAAAAAGGGAAACCACTTTTACCTCCTTACGATGTCATCTAGTGGTCCGCAGTCACTGTGATTCTTTAAAGGCATAATGTATACGTGGACGATTTCTTAATTCGGTTCAGAAGTAAGGTATTATTAATTAGAACAATGTGCAAGATGCTAACCCAGTGAACGAATGTGTCTGATTTCACGATTTAGCGAATGCAAGACACATTGCTCTCCCAAGGTGATCCTGACATCGTGATAAAAGTTTAAACAGTAGTCGGGGTTATTGTATTTGCTGTGAAGTAATTATATGTGTTCATCATGAGATCTCTGATTACGTTTACTGTCATACTTGTCATACTACAGAATGTTAAGGAAGGGTTACTGGTATCGCAACATCCGAAGCTGTTGGTGATATCTTACGATGCATTCAGGTATTGCATACCACTTCATCGTCTTACTTTCACACTCATGATTACTTTATGATAAATTCTTCTATCTTTCAGATACGACTACTTTGAGAGAAACTTGACACCATTCATGAACAAGTTAAAGAATCAAGGCACCCATGTGGATTACATGATGAATATTTTTGTCACTAAAACGTTTCCTAATCATCATACAATGGCCACTGGATTATACGCAGAAACGCATGGTGTTATAGATAATGAATTTTACGATCCTTCATCGGGGAATACGACGAAATACTCATACGACTTGTATCACTATAGTAACGATATTCTTCCTATTTGGGTAGGTAGATTGGCACATTCAAATCTCGTACAAATATTTATTTCTATTTGTTTTATGTCACTTAGACTGCTAACGAGAAGGAAGGTGGTCAAAGGCGAAGTGGAACAATGATGTGGCCTGGAAGCATTTACAAGTATCAAGGAATCAGTCCCACATTTTCACAAGTTAGTATCTCCCAACGGTATGTTTAAAAAAAAATAAATGGAGATAATCGATCTGTTCAATTCCTTCAGAACTTCAATGAAAGTATATCTTGGGAAGACAGGATAGACACCTTGATATCTTGGTTCGTTCATCCTACACATCCAATCAATTTAGGAATACTTTATATAGAGGAACCGGATTACCACGGTCACATGATCGGAATAAAAGGGCCTCAGTTTGACGATATTCTTCGAAAATTAGATAATATAACTAGATATCTTCATAATAAGATAGAATACTATGGTCTACATGATCTGAACGTTGTCCACTTGAGCGATCATGGAATGGCGACTGTTAAACTAGACAGAATAATAGATTTAACGAAATATGTTAATAGCAGTGATTACAAATTTGTGGGTACTCCGCCGGGATATCACATTTTCCCATATCCTGGTGCGTTAATTTTATTTATAAATAAATCTTATTGCTCTATGAACGGTCGAAATTGAAATATAATTTTTATAGGCAAAGAAGATGCAGTTTACCAAGCATTGAAACAGGCAACGAAGACGGAGAAATTTAAGGTTTACAAAAGAGACGAGATTCCTAAGAAATATCATTATGGGAACAATACACGAGTCGGCATGATTTTCGTCATTGCTGACGTCGGATACGCGTTTCAAACCCTTCGCGACACCATCGATTATTATAAGAAAAAGTTCAATGTCACAGGTAAAATACACTAATTACTTAATATTCTGAATACTTTCATTAGAAATGGTACCGCACATGTTGAATTAATTATTATTTTAGTAAACGCTGATTCGGAATTCGGTCTTCACGGTTACGACAACGAGGCGATAGAGATGCATCCGTTTTTCTTTGCGAACGGCCCTGCGTTTATGCCTAATTGCAAGCTGGAACCTTTTAGTAATCTAGATCTATACCCATTGTTTTGTAAGGTACTCGATCTAAATTGCCCGACCGGAAATGGTACTTTAATGCATTTGACTAAGTGCCTTAAAAAGCGTCAACAGGATATCACAGTGATTGCGTATCGGATGATATGTAAGTAAAACAGATCGTAGACGTGATAATATCGTCAGACTGTTTACTTATCGTTGTTATCTCAGTTGTAGCCACTACCATATCTATGACAATGGTAGGAATTATAGCAGCAATAGTTATGTTCTACATGAGGAAACGGCGATTAGGAGCGAGGAGTTATAGGTAAGCAGAAACATGTGTTCGTTTGCCTTTGATTCTTCTGTCTGATTCATACGAGAGATAACACGTTTTACGGACGATCGAAAGAGAAAAGTAGAAGTTCCAAGTAGAATTCTCGTAATGTAATCTGGACGTTTTGATTTTTCAGGAGATATTATCCAGTGGATGGATAATATATTCTAAGTACCAAACGATACGTGAAACACATAAAATTTCATATTGTGTATAGCTTGCAAGATGAATTAAAAAAAATGGAATAATATGAAGTAGCGTCGTGGTGAAGAACAGAGTAATGTTAACTTCGATCGCGGTGTTCTACTTTCTTTTAGACTTTACAAAAGTTATTGTTAGAGAATCTTTACCGTTTCCGAACGATAGTAAAAATCAGTTGTATTATATTATAAAGGTTTCTGGTTTTATGCGGAAGCATGTGTAATTTTATTAAGAGGATATTGAATACGATTTTAGTGTAAAACTATGTGATCATAGTGCAGAAATAAAGTTTTTAGCGAGAAACAACGAACTTAATTTCTCATTTATATGTTAATTTGAAGAGGAGCCTCTTCCCGATACTTATATTCCTTTGCATTGTCGCCGATGAATAACCGGACCCGACTTTTTTTTTTAGAAGAATACTGGAAGATTCGGAAGCACAGTACCAATGGGACGAAAGTCAGAGTATTGAAAATACTACTTGCAAGTAAATTTCCAAAGATCATGCTCTTAAATTCTCACTTCCTACTACCGCATTTATGAGATAGAATTTTAACCAATTTTAACCGATAGCGACTTTCATTTTTTTCCGAAATTAATAATATCTGACCGTCGAACAGGCGGTTTCCCTTGTTAATCTGACTATTTCTCTTTTCAGATTAAACAAATTTCCAGATTTATTCGTAATTGAATGCTACGCGAAGAATAGGCGTTCGTATAAGGGGAATGTTAAGTATAGGAAAAGTTCTTTTCATTATAAGAGTGACGCATGCCTTACACATTGAATAATTCAATGAAATACATATAAATGAGAAAATGCTTCTGTGATAAAGAGAAAGAGAAGAATATAAATTGACATTTTAGAACTCGGTTGATTTGGTGTGTTATTTATAATATGAACAGTAATTGATTTTTATTGCGGTGGATACACGGCTAAAACGATTGTCTCAAATAATAATAAGAATACTCATGCGTATGTAAGTAATTGGTACATAGAGTACATCTTCGAAATGAGATTGTAAAATACTTCGTCAGGCGCATCGCTATATGAAATTACTTTAAAAAATATGTACGAACAATGTTCATTATATAAGTGTAAATAAACTAGTTGTAAATAAAAATGATTATAGAACGAAATCTGGCTTTTCTCTTTTAATAAAATACCTATCGACAATTATTATTAACTCACACCTGGAACTCAGCCCCGGTACATATGAATTAATAAACAGATCAGGTTTAAATAAATTATGTCATCATAGGTCATCACTATTTGTAATGTACGCCGGTGATTAATTCACGAGTTATACTTCAGCGATACACTCGAAAAATATATTATCTTCATGCTTCATCATTCGAAGAAACGCACGCTTCAAGAATTAGGAAGGAATTGGATTCCTAAAGAATTGATCAAAGCTGAATAATCGATTACTTAGAAATTTCGTATACTGTTTAATATTATAATAGTAATTTCACGAGTGATAAAGATTTGCATCTGCATGTCAGTTATTGAAATTTCTTGTCATGATCGAAGTCGAACGCGTTGCATTTTACTAAAACAGTAATAAATCATTCGTAATAAACGATGAATCGTTATCTACCGTAATGTCGGATGTGCAAGATGATTGATTGTCAAGAGCAACTGCAAATTACATACGAATTTATTTATTATCGTCGATCAGCAACCGGCGAAGAATGAACCATACCGCATTGTCTTTATTTCAACCTTCTACACTCGCCGGTGTAATTTAATCTATTTTTGGCTATGATCTGCGTGTCAATGTGATTATGTGTAATTGGGCAGTCCAGAACTCGAACAATGTCGCGGAATTGACACAATCCATTTTTTCGAACGAATCATAATAGACAGGAAATAATATAATAACGCTTGCTAACAATTTGAACGTTTAAATGGACGTATCAAATTATTAAGGGGAATACCAAAAACCAGGATGAGTCGTAACTCGGAACATAATGTCTATAATTTATTTTCCGAGAGGTATCTCAATGCCAGGCAGTTGACCAGAACAGGTTCGATGTTGCGGGCATTCAAATCTCCGATTCATGCGTTTCGCTACTTATCACGCGTTCCATGAACGTTTCCTGAATAAATAGACTGAAATTATGACATTTACTATAACTGATAGAAACACACAGGGTTGATACACCTGAAGAATTGATTAAAAGAAGTGACTCAAGTTCAGTAATGATTACTAAAAATCGTTATCTTATTCGAGAAGGTTCACATCCTTCTTTTTCACGTTACAAATGCACCGCGTGCAATGTATCATGACCCGTGACTCATTTAATCATCGTATGTTAATTTCACGCATGTAATCACTAAATCTGTTGAATCAATGTGACAACGAAGGGAATTCCGTGAACGTGTTCAGGGGAAGCGCGTGGGCAAACGAGCGGGGAGAATTAAAGAAGCTGCCATAGAAGGGGTAACGAGTTTTTAAACACTTTCTCGGTGATCATATCAAATCATATGTGAATAGCATCGCCGAGAAAGTGTTTAAGAGCTCGTTACCCCTAGCATCGTACATGGTATCATATAATATATGTCAGTAACATCATATCTATTATATAATAGATACTCGCGCGTGCGTCAGGCGTCGAAAGGATCGCAAAACTTTTCTCAAAAGTGAACCTCGTTAATGCGCGTCTCTCAGTTAGTGCCTGAGACTTGTCGGTGGAAGGTTCGTAAGTCTATGATTCGCTTTAGTCCCGTGCACTCGTTCACTTAATTTATCAGCTTCACAAATAATGAAAATTTAATCCATTTTTCATGTGGTGTGCAATATTTATTTTTATTCTAAATAATCTAGAAACTGCAGTTCGTTAGATTTTAGTGATTATCGTTCATCTATTTCATTCCAAGTGACTGTATTATATTTTTTATTATCAATTGTGTTCATAGTGTCTATATTTGTTTAAAATATCTACGGATTATATGTTTATTTCAGCCTAAATCAACGAAACCGAGATGCTGTTTGCACTGGCATTCATTATTGGCCTCCTGCAGTCGCACGCGGTGACCGCTCAAGGTTTGTATTTCGCATCGCCTCTTTAGAGTGCTACGAACACCGTCTCGTAGCCTTCGTACACTTTCGAATGGGAAAACACAATCTGATAACCGTTAGTAAAAAATAGAACCGTTCACTACCATAGAAAAGTGAAAAAATCAGATTCTATGACGTTTGGAATTAAACATGTTGCACATAGTTAATTGCTCATGATATCGCAAGTCAGTTCCGTCTTTCCATATAAACAAATAATAATTCTCATTTAGAGGAAAATCGTCTTATTAATTAATCAACCACATGTACATACTATGTAGTTCGCGGGGAGTCCTCTCTGTCTGAGAAAATTGAGCAATCGATGACGCGGGATTGTCCGAATCCGACCAAGGTCTAAACCTTCGAACTCGTGAGAGGGAAATCCATAATCTGACCGGTAGCGAGGGTCAAGCAAGACTTGGCTCATTTACAGTTGATTCTCCGAATCAAATTGAGATCGATTCACTACGTGTTTCTCAGACTATTAACTAACAAGATATTAATTCCATATCAGGTTTGCATAATTCTCGGTCAACGAATAATCATAAAAAAATAAAGATCTGACTTATGTTTCCGCATTCATTGATTCAACTAAATGTAGATCGTGAAGTTTACAAAAACGCCGTGTGTTACGAAACGATTTTTCTTGCTCTTAACTTACGCAATATAGAAGTGCAAGATTGATAAAGAGTCGTGTCCGAAGTATTGATTTACATTTTATAAGAACGATTAGTCTCTACAATATTCCTCTCTGCAGAACTAATGGCTCTGTTAATTGAGCACTCGAGATTCCACAATGTTTAATAAGCTTGTACTTCGTTCACATAATTATTAGCCGGTTTCCTCGATCGATGTAGGTATCATTAAATACAAGATTCCGGTAAACGTGTACTACGTCGCGGATATTAATATCGAATTCGATTCAGCCTCTATTTCGCACTTCGGAAAGTTATGTAATGAAATTTCGTTGAGAGACATATTAATATATACTTCGTCGTATTTTCTGAGAAACCAGGTGGCGATGATGATAATAGGCGCTATTTGAGAACTAATTTTGCTCGAGGCTATATTGTACATAATACTTGTTAACGGTAGATCTTCCTTTTTTATCTTCAAAATTTAATGAGTAAGCAGAACAGGATGTACGACTCAGAGAATAAAAACGACGATGTTTACTCATTGATATGCAGGATTATTTATATTATATATAATATTTATAAT